CTCCAAACTCATTTTTTTCACAGAGGTCAGGATTTAATATTTTCAGGATTTGTATGCATGAAATCCATCTAGGAAGATGACATTTTCAAATTAGGGATGCACAATTACATCGTGGGCGCCTCCAAGTGTCAAGTTTGCCTGCAGGCAAAAGGATAACGGAGAGCTGTCAAAATTGCCAAAACCTTCATAAATCCTCTGTCGGGCTCAAACTCCCACTCATCTTCCACTATTACATGTAGGAAAACGATAATCCGGATATCTTCCAGGATACAGTGTGCAAAGTTGTTTTTCTCAAGGCGACCTACATGAAAATGACCTCCTACGCACATCTTAGCAATGTCAAATTAGAATACACTTTCCACATACTATTAAAAAATGATCACCAAGAAAACTGACTGCATCAACATAAATCATTGAAAACAACAGAACATTCCTCCTACATGATTTGAACTACATTTTTTCAATTGGATGTTTCTAACAAAATCTTTAAGTGGTCTGATACTTATACCAAAATTTCTTTCAATTAAAGAACCTCTGAAGTTTGCAGAGTTTTTTAATTCTTCTATGACACAATCTTCAAATGATAACTGGAGTTACACTCGATCTGCATCGATCGACTTTAAAATGAAATAAATCTTATCATATAAATATTTAAAATATTCAACCACTGCTTTTCTAATGTCATAGATCTGTAAATAATCACTACCGGTATGTAATTATAGCTGAAATTATTGCTTTTGAGTTGTTTTAAACTATGAGATAGAAAGCTGAAGTTAGATACATGTACCTCATAATGACTGGTTGTATAATTAGTAAAAGAGAACAACTTTAATAATCTTTTAACATTTAGGTTTTACTGCAATCTGTTTATAATTCAGCCAATCTAAATCAGTTAATTTCTATACATCTACGCCTATATAAATTCCAAAGTCCTTTAACATTCTAGTATACCATAAATAGATTCTCAACAATCCCTATTCAAAACTTGTGCTGATACTACTGTATGTACTGTACATGGCCGTGATAGGTTGATTAATCTGTAATTACTAGAAAAACCAGTTATTGCGATTCTAATCTGTAGGTCAAAGGACATATTGACAAAGTAATAGCTCGTATAAATAGGTTTATAGGCTTAGGCTATCAGTAATTCAGTATGCAACAAACTTTTCAACACTGTATAAATCATCATGATTAAAACTGATTTGTAAAATATCAAGTGTTTATATGATACGTACATTATAGCATAAGGCTGGTCTCTCTCTCTCTCTCTCTCTCTCTCTCTCTCTCTCTCTCTCTGTTCTATCATTATCACTTTGCATGTAACTAAAGGTATAGAGATAAATCATCAGCATTAGTTTAAACCAACGAATCTGTCAAGTAAAATATACAATGTACACACGTATGACCCTTTCGAAGGTTCATATTAAGGCCGAGGAGATACAAAATGGTAGATGGACCACATTTGGATGGCTTAATAGACCCTATCAAATCAATAGTTAATCCCTATTGATATGTATTGCATAGACTGCATACCGATTATTTATAAAGAAGTTTGTGTCTATTCAACATAACCAGTCGTGTTTTACCTCAGTGTTTACAGCAGTAATGGTCTGTACATGTATCAATCATGCAGATTTACACAAGGCAATACAGGAATACATGGATAAATTGAATAAAATGCAAGCTGTGTACTAAATTGTCCTTTAAATCATGCAATTTATACATATAATATGTTTGTAGATGATGCCAAAAAAATGTATTACTGGCAATGTGTTCAATTTAACATTTGAAAACTTTGAAAAACATTATGTTTAGCAGATTACCGGTAGTTGAATATAGGCTAAATGATCTATAATGTACATTTGTACATGTTGAGATCAAATTCAGAAATATAGGCCTTACAGGCTATGTGTTACACTACTGTCCAGGCTTTGAAAACAAATCCACCTTTTTTATTGTATGAAGATGTCAAAAGTCTTTTCTAGATAAAATACTCTCTACATTACATGTACATCATAACTCTCTAAAGGTATCCAATAAAAATATTATTTAGCAGCTATACAGTGATAATACATGTAGATAAATAGTCAAATGGACACAATAGCTGCTTGAATATATTGTCTGAGATAGTGCACAGTGAATCAGTGATATATGGTTGTATATTCCCCCAGTAAAATGGTTATGTTTAAATGCCAAACCCTCCCTCGATCTTGACAACAATACAAAGAATGTCAACTATTCAAGACAGAGGTAAATCCCTAAAAGGGATCGTGATCATTGTGTTTCTCTCAAAGGGGGAACTCTTCAGCCTGGCTTGTATTGTGCTCTGGAGTAAGATACAGTATTGTATCTTACAAACCGCCTCCCAGGTATCGTCGCTGTTTTCACGGAGTGACGGTAGTGAAAAAAAAAAATGCATTCACTTTGCGTTACGATTTTCCTCACTACCGTCACTTCGTGAAAATGGGGACGGTATGTGTACATGTACAGTGTACATATTAGGTCTAAACATGCAGAGTTTGTACAAATGTAAACTACATTCAAATTGCGATTACAGAGAAATAAGTAAAGAGAGGTTGAAAGTCCATGAGCGTTCCAAATTGAAAGTTTCCAGCCAAAAATAACGGTAATTAAGACTCAAAGAACACGTACTGGAGCATGCAAATTACATTTTTTTGTATTGAACACAGTATGGGTATGTAGACCTATCATCATTAAAGGTATAGACCAGTTCTGATCATGCGATTGCATTGTGAAAGAAACGTTGTGGAATCGATCAGAAAAGGTTGACCATCTAGCATATAAGTATTGGTGTGTACTGCAAGGTTCTGGAATCATCAAAATGATAACAAAATTGGCCCAGTCTGGGTAAAGTTACTAATACTCTTTTCACACTGGTTTTGCTTAACCCCGTACTTTGCTTAGCCCCGTACTATCCTTAACCCCGGACTATTTTTTTGGCTTTTCACACTCGCTGTTTTTAGTCCCGTACTAGCGCCTATTCCGGAATAAGAAAATTCCTGCTGTTCTCACTGCATTTCGTTAACCCCGGATATCGTGTATGTTATGATTGGACATACTTCGCATCTGGCCAGCTGCGATACGCTCCATTGCGTAGTACCGGACTATTTTTCGTTTCTGTTCTCATTCATTTGCTTAGCACCGCAATTGCGGGGTTAGCAGGAGTTAGCACCACAATTGCGGAGTTAGCCCTGCTATTTTGCAGGGTTAGTTAAACCCGTACTATAGGTGGGGTTAGCCAACTTTAGCCCACTTTGCTAAAAACCAGTCTGAACAGAAAGTGGAATAGGCTTAACCCCGTACTATAGGTGGGGCTAAGACCCCCCCCCCCCTTAACCCCACCTATAGTACGGGGTTAAGCAAAATATTGCCAGTGTGAAAACAGTATATCAGTTTGTATCATCACGTATTAGTCAAAACATATATTCTTTCACATGATTGGTAATAAGAGCTTCCATTTCATTTTCTGAGAGAGGGGCGTTTCCAAAACTGGCCTTTATTATCTTTAAGCTTAATCATCATTATCAAGCATGGAAGACACCTAGTTTGCAGACACATTTAATCCTTGTTCTCATTCATTGAGTGTAAAAGTGTCTACAAAATGAGACTACTAAAGGCTCTGTACTTTAGCTGCAGTTTGACAAAGTCAGAAAGTGACGGATCTGGGCTCTTCTCAAGGCTTTAAGAAATTGTGCAGAAGTGACAAATTGGACTAGAAGAGGATGTTCCAGGCTAATTATACTAGTTTACTAATTACTACATAATAAATATATGTTGACAAAGCATATACTTCACTGTGTGTATACTAACGTGTGATGTAACAAGAAAAGAACTTCCTGAACTTTTATCAAAATGACCTCATTAACTCATTTGTCAATTGTCACAAATATGCAATCTACCAGGGGATGTGCACAATCATCAATGTAGGTTCCAATTGTTCCATATAGGCCTACATTAATTTCTGTAAGTAACGAAATATTTGTTTTGTGATAACTCTTACAGAATTTTTGTTGGGGGGGGGAGGCAAGTGAAGACGTGATAGATACCTAGATACATGTATGTGAGTAGAATAATCATTATAAATAACTGAATAAAACAAAGTAAAGATAGCTAAAAGAATAAAATAAAATACTGATGAAAAGAAGAGTTATATATGTAAAAGCTCTATATATCATTGAGGTTCCGTGGAGGGGGAGGGGGTGGCTGGCAAAAGTTAACTTATAAGAAATTTACAGGAAATGCTTGGTCTTTTGATAAGTAAGAGAAGGGAAGAGAAAAGAGAAAGGAAGAGAAAGAGAGAGGCAAAAAGGGAGGGGCGCTGTAGTAGAGGTATAGTAGTAATGATTGTAGTAGTAGTAGGGGTTCAAGGAAGAAAGATGGAAAGAAAAATGGGGGGGGGATGAAAGAAGAATTCATTCATCTAGTCAAAGAAAATAGTGTGCCTTTACTGAAGATATGACACAAATTGTGACACTGTTTTGCATTATTGTGGAAACTATAAAACAAGACATCTCAGGGATTTATAACCAGATTTAATATTCCAAATCAATCATACCTATATGTATATATTATGTAGGCAAGGAGACCTAGGTCTACTTGATTCTTAAGTGTTTGCATTGTAGCAGGGAGTTATTCCTATCAACTCCCTGATTGTAGTATCTACTGGATCTATTAACACTGTTACATCACACCTGAATGTAAATGAGCTTGAATCGTAGTTAAAGGGCTAGCTGAAAGTCATGCAACACTTCAAGGTTAAATGCCTGGATTTCATGACCACTGTTTGCTAAATAATCAAACCACTTCCACCTCTCCAAATTATGTAATAAGAGATTAAGGACATTACAATATAATTCACTAACAATAGATACAAACAAAAGTATTTCACGATCACGGTAATCTGTTTACAGTAACGGCGATTTGGCGTAATCATGCTATTGATAAAAACGTAAAGCATACAATTTGTGGTATTTTCTTACCGACATTCTGCTGCATCGATGCACATCAATGATCGCCGGTGTGCGAAGGCTTTGGGCAGCCTTCTGAAAAGCCAAGACGACGGCGATATCCAAACTATCTTCCTCGTCGAATAAGTCCATATTTCGCGGGCGATTAGGAGCCGGTAGAATCTTCGCCGCCGCCCAACATACGGGTAACGCTAGCAACGAATGCAGCGGCAGATAACCCTTGTTGAATACCTCCTGCACTTCGATGATAAAATCCTCATCCCTGGCAACATTTTTCTTGGTCAGGAGCAGCCCTGATTGTTCCAAGGTATCTTCTAATCCAGCAAGATCAGGAGTTAGGCTTGCGTGTTGCGTCATGCTGCTATTAGGGTCCTTCGAATAGGTACTGTTCACCAAAACCTCTTGTGCTGCTGCCTCGCCTTCTGATGCACTGACACCGCTCAAATAAAACATTTCCTATGCGTGATGTATGCAGCGCTACCGCCTCAACCTACCCGTAAAATTAATCAACATACGACGACCTGACCTAGGTGAAGGTGCGAACGTTCTTACAACAATCAGACCTTTGTGTTCGCAGACGATCGACGATGTCGTATAAAATTCTGTTCGATTAATTATACATGAACGGTAGATCGACAATCCATCTACGATAGATTTCGGGACAATGATCAATACGACAAACCACACTGCATACAAATATCCTAAATACTACCAACGTAGTTTACAGGTGGTATCAAAAGGTCACGCCTCAACTCTCCAAGATATGCGCGTAGTCTGTAAATTGCAGTCGCAGATTTACCATAACAATTCTTAAACTGCATTTGGAAAGGGATTTTACTTCAAGAACCAATTTTTTTCCTGATTATAATCCATATGGATGGGTACAGGCCTGTTTATTGGAATGATGTTGCTGTTATAAATCAGTAATCCATGGATCATGATCAGGTGATTGTCTATTAATCTTGCATACCAATTACGGGGCTTTGTAATTCAGACTAGAATTTCAGCTGAGGGGTAACGATGCCACACCCACTTCTCACATACAGGGGAATTCTACATACTTCTCTCTCTCTCTCTCTCTCTCTCTCTCTCTCTCTCTCTCTCTCTCTCTCTCTCTCTCTCTCTCTCTCTCTCTCTCTCTCTCTCAAAAAACGGAAATTATTTTCACCCTATCGATGCATGTTACATTGAATTAGAAAGAAGTGATGACAATACAGAAAGATGATACATTTCTAATTGTAAAAATCTGTTTAATTATACAAATAATCTCTTTTTTTTATTGATTTTAAAAAAGAAATAAAGGTAGACCAGTCGTGCAATTTGACAGGAAAGGACTGGTACTGTTTTCCGAATGGTGTTTTGTTTACTATTAATCGGTTTAACGTCCTGAACTTGACGACTTTTATCTGATAAAAAAAATAGATGAATCAAATCCAATTAACCTGAGGTAAAATAATACCGCCCTGTAGCAGTAGTGTATTACAAGCAGAGACGGCCCTCCGGGGGGCAGGGAGCACAGTGCCCCCACACTTTTTCAAGTACTCCAAAAGTGTCCCTTTTTACATAGGAAAAAAGCTCCTTTTATCTTGACAAGTGCCCCTATTCATTTGTAAAAGTGCTCCTTGCCCTTTTCACCTCTGATAAGTGCCCCTTTTATTTTGCCAGGGTAGTAATCGGGAGCGCCAGGAGTGTCAAGTCTGGCAGATATGAGCGCTATTCAAGAATACAATATCATTATTATTATTATTATTATAAGTACCCCTTCACCTTTTCATAATTATCCCCTTTTCATCTCTGATGAGTGCCCCGTTTATTTGAACATGTGCCACTTTTTCTTTTTTATAAGATCCCACCCCCTTCTCATAAAAGCCCCTTTTCACCTCCGATAAATGCCCCTATTAAATGCCCCTTTCATTCTCATCATTGAACGCGTTTAAGAGCAAATTCCCCCAAGCTCGCTTTTAAGTCTTCCGTTATGAGAATGTGTTTATTATCCCATCAGGATTGGTTTTTTTCTCTCTTTATAATAGTAACTTTTTGCACTGCGACCTCAAAAATCTTAAATTTTTGTATCACTCGCTTTGCTCGCTCGCAAAGGATTTTTCAGTTCATCACACCGAACTGCAAATAATGATGATGCTTAAACCATGTCATCCCTGACAATGTTATCACAATGTAGTTGTATTCACCAATGTCTAAAAGATTGTATATATTCGCTTTGAGATTTCCCTTTGAAGGTGCCCTTTTTCAGAAAGTGCTTTCTTTGTTGGTACCTCCCCTCACTTTGAAAGTCACTCCGTCGCCCCTGATTACAAGTGTTCAATATTTGCAGCTGTTGTTATTGCTCATCAAAAACTGTATGGACTGTGTCAACCCCCGCTTCGCCGCTTCTCGTCCCGTTTTCTCCCCCTTCTTTTTCTCCCGAGTCTTGCTCGGGAAAAAAAACACTGACGTATTTTCTTTGGGGAAATTCGAGTAAACGTATAGGGTGGGAAATGGAATGATGCCTACATTGTGTTTGAGGGGAAAACAATTCTAAATCTTATTTCTTTGGAGACGTCGTAGACGCTTAAGCTGCTATATAACTATTCCAGAATAAAGGTGAACATAAGGCGGGGAACGTGCCCCCTCCCCAATTGAATGTTGAAAAGGGAGAGAAATTAAGTAGGAAGGAGGAAGAAGCGTTAATAAAAATATAATACGACATCCTATACCGCATCATAATTATTATACTCAGCACATGGCCCTAACTAACTCTCAAAAATTATGTTCAAATAATACAATGGCACCAGTATCTCTTAAATATAAACTTACGCTACGCTAACATCATCATCATCATCATCGTCATCATCGTCAATGCCATCATCATCGTCGTCATCATCATAATCATCATCGTCATCATTATCATCATCATCATTGTTATCATCATCATCCTCATCATCATCATCATTTTTTATCAATATCACCATCGTCATCATTGTTATCAACATCATCATCATCATCATCATCATCATCATCATCATCATCATCGATCAACATCGTTATCATAATCATCATCATCATCGTCGTCATCATCATCATTATTATCATCATCCCCATCATCATATTTCTCATCGCCATTATCATCCTCATTATCTCCACCAATACTATCATCATTATATTATTATGATCATCAGTATCAAAATCATTGTTATCATCATCATCAGCATCATTATCATCATCGTCGTCATCATCAACATCATCATTATCCTCATTATTCATCATCATTATCATCATCATCAGCATCATTATCATCATCGTCGTCATCATCAACATCATCACTATCCTCATTATTCATCATCATTATCATCATCATATTCATCATTATTTTATCATTAACAATATTATTACTATGTTCATTATTACAATCATCATTATTATCATTGATATTATTGTTGTACAGTTGTTGTTGTTGTTATGCTCATCGAGTTGAAACTAGTGCATAACAAGTGCAGTACTGCATAGTCAGGGGCGGATCCAGGGGCGTGGGGGCGCACGCCTCCTTTTAACTCACCCCAAATAAAATCACATACAAATAATGTTCAATTTACTCATTCAAAAATGCCTCAGAATGTACCATAGAGCATCTTCACGTTCAAAATTCCCCGAGGAGCTATAGCTTAACCGTGACCCGAAAAATAAGCTGTCAATATTTGTTTTATAATATACCACATACCCTGAGTCAATTCTCAAAAAGAGATATTTTAACAAAAATATGCCTGTCAAAGTAATTTCTGTCAAAGCATTGCCTGGTCAATAAGTAAAAACAGAAGGCGGAGAAACGAAGGACAATTTTTTTTTAAAGTATGTAATAAACACACATACGAATTCTTAGATATTCTTTGCATATTTCTTTCATAGTAATACGAATTTTGGAATCTTGGCTTATCAGGTGGGCTGTATCTATACAGACCACCTTATAATTTTGTTAAAATTGCCTTTATTATTATTTATTTATTTTATTTCTAACCACTTTTTTGTTAACAAGATAACTTGAAAATGGCTAAATCAAATAACTTGAAATTTGGCACACATATGTATAGGCATATGGAGAAAACACGGTAAGGTTTAAAACCTTGACCTTGACTGATGACGTCATCTAGGCGCCATTTTGTGAAATTTTCTGAAAATTTACTCATGATCATATTTTCATAACGGTAAATCATTTCTCATTCATATTTATCATGATCAAGGTCAATATCAGTCCGGTCAATTTCATGTCAAAAAACGCGCGCGTGCAAGTACGTCCGCGCGTCAGTGCGCGCGCAAAATTTTTAAATGCTCAAAATCGTCTCAAATTTATTTTGCATACGTTTCAGGTCATTTTAAGCATTTTATAAAAAATCGCGCGTACGAGCATGCGCGCGCGTTTTCGCGCGTAACACCATTAAAAAACATAGAATCGCCATTTTTTTTTCATTCATGATATTTCTCATATTTTTTCAAGGAATTTGATTCCATGTTTATCTCTTTTTGACCATTATTAACAAGATGAGCGTAAATTCAAGATAAATGTCAGTGCGCGCGAGGTCTTTTAATACATAGCATATATGGGCAAAAACATGCCCATACAAAATCTGTTATAGCTCTTTGGAATGCACCGGGATCCTCAATTTTTTTCATATTAAGATAGAGTATGAGTCGGAAATATGATTCCATGTCTCATTTGGCCATTAAGTGTATCGTGACATCATCACAATGGCCTTGGAACTCAAAATACGAATTTGCATATTATGACGTCAGCATATTTATGTAAAATTGATTGTATCTCTGTAAATATTGATCAATTTTCTTCAAAATTTCGATATGTTGTAGCTAAGACAATTTTCTACAAGCGCAGTAATAACCATTTTTCATTTTGATGACGTCATCATAGTGAAAATTTTGATTAAAGGCCTCATGTCAAAAACTTCATAATTTGCGTGTTATGCCTATAGAAGGAGAATCTAGTTCACGTTATGAATCTACATGATATTGTCTTTTACGAATTTGTAAGCAGTATGTCGCTTATTTTTGCTCTATTTTGTCTCAAATTTTAGTTGACCAGCCCACCTATACTTGTTCCAAACAAGTATTATATGTCTAGTTGTGGTCTAATTTTGTTGTTGTGTGGCTCAGTTTCAGATGAATTTTTTCTTTTCTTATTTTTCTCTTCGGCCACACCACAAGTTTTACACGAGTGATTCTTGATCTTGCCGACGTCGTTTTACCCTTTACTTGTCACAAAATGGAGGACGAATCCACTCAAATTCTTTCAATTCAAGAGAATGATGACGATGAGGAGACTTTTTTTGCAGAATTAGCTGAAGTGCCGATTGATCCTCCTGCGAAAAGAGATACTTGTTCAAGTTGCGGGTAAGTTAGCATTCTTTGAGCAACGACTGCAGTCGTCGATCGACACAGTCATGGGGAGCTAAGGCGCGATGGATCGGAGCGAGGGCCTTACCTGGCCTGGTGAGCATGGATTTGGATTCGGATAGCATCATAGACATATCCAGACTTTGACCCGAAACTCCGACGTGGAGATACCCCACTGTAACATACCAAAAGAACCCTTAAACTCCTTGATACGGTGCAAAATTTACAAAAGATTTAAATAGCTGATCCGGCGCTAGGCCTAGTTCAGAAGCATACCTAGGTCTAGATCTAGAGTAGTGGTTCCGGTCTGCGGCCGATCGGCGGGAACTGCCGATTCTATTTTTATTGGAATACTCACAGAATACTTCAATACCCTCAATAAAGAGTCCATATACTTACTTATTAAATAGAAGTCACAAATAACCTAACTGACCCACAGCGTGGTCAGCATTGACCACGTTTCGAAATGCTTCGAGTTCCCCGGTTTGCGGGCACGCAGTACCGGTTTGCGGCACGCGTACGTCACAAAGCTTTATGCGCTACGTCACGATGAAAGCCTGTACCAAATTACTACGGGTAACCCAAATTCTCATGTTTATCTGTTGCTACGGTAAATTTGTGAAGTTTTAAACAATTTCACCTTTTCCTCGAATGGATCATCCCATACGGGGGTACGTACTACTAGAAACTATCGGGTCATAGCGGGTACACACATCAGCACACATACCATCATACACGATCCCGCATGTTATGTGTGTATTAACACCCCCCGCCGCAAACCAGAAAAACACGTAATTACGTGCCGGTTTGCGGCCACCCCATGCAACTGGCCATGCGGTGGCACAATCAAAATATCTGCGATAGGAGACAGACCACAGCCATCATACTTCCACAAAAACATCAAATTTCACCTCCAATCGGACAAATATCGGACAAATAGAGCTACAATATTGATTTAGTCATGCCTCGATCTGTTAACTTAAAAGTTAGCACCTGCTGGAATTTTCATCGGCGACTGGTGCCGTAGATTTCCGACATCGCTGAGGGATACTCCGTACCGATAGGAGCACCTGCTACGGACGTTTTCGGCAAAGCAGAACTTACCGTGGAATCCACGGTACGTTTCAATGATTATTATCGAGTCATATTCATTTTATTTTTGAAACAAATACCCCTGGCCGCAAACCGGGCGATGCCGCAAACCGGAGACTCTACTCTAGACCGAAAGCTTCAGTCTCTATAATCGTCGGTTGTTCCACTGAGACTACGTCTGGCTCCACTAGACCTCCGGTTATAGAGACTGAACGACTGCCTATGCCAGCCTGTGTTGAACTTATTCCGCTAGATTTTAGCCGCTAGGCCCCTCCCACAAACTTGCCACAGCCGTATTGTTATGCCCCCAAAATCCCCCAAAATGTCATTTTACCTCGTTCATTTCCAATTTTAAATTAGGCCTAGACCTCGGTTCCACTTACTAACTTTATTGATATAATCCGTTTAATGGTCCCTTTTAAGGAAATTATGGGTCAAAATCGACATCCATGTTGAAAATCTTGCAAGCCGTGTTAAACTCTCGCTGCCGTCAATCTCATCCCTTCTAGTCTACGCCGAAGGCAAAATGATTATGAAGGAAAAACTGTGATAACGCCATTACGAACGTGTAGATGGCGCAGTTTTTCCTTCATAATCATTTTGCCTTCGGCGTAGACTAGAAGGGATGAGATTGACGGCAGCGAGAGTTTAACACGGCTTGCAAGATTTTCAACATGGATGTCGATTTTGACCCATAATTTCCTTAAAAGGGACCATTAAACGGATTATATCAATAAAGTTAGTAAGTGGAACCGATGTATTATAGCCTAGGCCTAATTTAAAATTGGAAATGAACGAGGTAAAATGACATTTTGGGGGATTTTGGGGGCATAACAATACGGCCGTGGCAAGTTTGTGGGAGGGGCCTAGCGGCTAAAATCTAGCGGAATAAGTTCAACACAGGCTGGCATAGGCGATCGTTCTGTCTCTATAACCGGAGGTCTAGTGGAGCCAGACGTAGTCTCAGTGGAACAACCGACGATTATAGAGACTGAAGCTTTCGGTCTAACCTAGATCTAGACCGAAAGCTCAGTCTCTATACTATAATCGTCGGTTGTTCCACTGAGACTACGTCTGGCTCCACTAGACCTCCGGTTATAGAGACTGATTGATCGCCTATACCATCGTATGTTGAAGATATCACGGCTAGATTTTAGCCGCTAGGCCCCTCCCACAAACATGACAAACTTGCCACGGCCGTATTGTTATGCCCCCAAAATCCCCCAAAATGTCATTTTTACCTCGTCCATATCCAATTTTAAATTAGGCCTAGGCTATAATACATCGGTTCCACTTACTAACTTGATTGAAATAATCCGTTTAATGGTCCCTTTTAAGGAAATTATGGGTCAAAATCGACATCCATGTTGTTGAAGGAAAAACTGAGTGCCATCTACACGTTCGTGATGGCGTTATCACAGTTTTTCCTTCATAATCATTTTGCCTTCGGCGTAGACTAGAAGGGATGAGATTGACGGCAGCGAGAGTTTAACACGGCTTGCAAGATTTTCAACATGGATGTCGATTTTGACCCATAATTTCCTTAAAAGGGACCATTAAACGGATTATTTCAATCAAGTTAGTAAGTGGAACCGATGTATTATAGCCTAGGCCTAATTTAAAATTGGATATGGACGAGGTAAAAATGACATTTTGGGGGATTTTGGGGGCATAACAATACGGCCGTGGCAAGTTTGTCATGTTTGTGGGAGGGGCCTAGCGGCTAAAATCTAGCCGTGATATCTTCAACATAGGATGGTATAGGCGATCGTTCAGTCTCTATAACCGGAGGTCTAGTGGAGCCAGACGTAGTCTCAGTGGAACAACCGACGATTATAGAGACTGAAGCTTTCGGTCTAAAGCATACCCAAAATTGTACCCATAACTCCGGGAAGCTCCAACACCCGCGCCGCAGGCGTCGAAGCTTCGGGAGTTCGGGTTTACTCTCGTGGGGGCTAGTAAAACAGCCGATCAGGCGATATTATCGTTAAATTTGCAAAGGGAGTACTTAACTTACAATTTTGTCTTCATAGGTTGCTCGACTCCTCTGAGCATATGGATGACCACTTGAAATTATAATTAGAAGAAGTCTTTGATGGGAAAAAAAGGGTTATTCTGCCTCCTACACCAACGATTCTTCCATGTTGCAGCGTCGATTCAAAATGGCAAAGAGAAGGTATGCATGCGCGGCAGTGGCACAGAAAATATGAATATTCATGCTATCGAGCGCTCAAAATCGCTGAATATGCACGAGGTTGCAAAGGGCAGAGGGACCGCTCTGTACCGATTTTTAGTGAAATCAGTTGAGTTTTGTACAGTCAACAGTGGTGTTTAAAATGTTGAGAATCAAAAGCACAGCTTTTACTACACAGCCAGGATAGTGATGCTTCTACATGTTTGTGTGCTCAGATCCTCATGATCATTACAGTAGATAACTTCACACAGGCTCGCGCTCGTCTGCAACCCACCATCAGTATGCACTTGTTGTATTGTGCAGCGGTTTGCCATAAAACATGTGAAAAAGTGTATAGAGTAAAGGAGGGGGTTTTCGACCACTTAAGACAAAATCTTTTTTGGGGGACTCTTTACTTCCTATTTATTATCATTTATTGTTTAAATCATGAAGCAAATATTATTATTCAAACAAAAAAAGAATCCCAGAAAAAAATCACGAATTGCCATGACAATATTCATTTTAATTTTCACTGTTTCGGAGGCAGTTATCGACATAGCGAGCCAGTTTTTCGACCGCATGTACAAAGTCAATAGGAAGCATGCATGCACGCGCCGTGCGTTTCCGCGCTGATCTATAGCACTTGCGGGCGGAGCAGGTATCCCACGCCGGAGCTTCCCGGTGCTCGCCATGTCGAAAACTAGCAATGCGTTGATCGGAAATTGGAATCTGAATTAGACAGAGATAGCGTGTGTGCCTTGCGGTGTCCGGCTGCATTGATTTAATACATGCGATGAGATACTTTTGAGCTTGCGACTCGCACAAAATCGGGCTCTAAATCTGAAAAATACTTGAAATAAAGCTCATTTTATGGTACTCATATTTCTTACAGACACGCGTAAGATACTCGATTTTTCAGATTCGGATAGCGGGACTGCCGATTACATTGCTAAAATGTGATATTTTAGGATATATTTTCCATTGCAAATGTGGTTCTTCAGTGACTCTGGCATGGTATGGTATGTGTGGGATATGTGATTTGCTATTATGCAATGTATTTCAAAGGGATTTTATCATGCATCCTACCAATCGGATGAAAACTGGAGATGGTTGATTACCCCCTCCTTTACTCTATATCAACGTTTTTCTGAGAAGTACTCCAAAAATGACAAGTTAATTGACACGAAACAGTTAATAAACATAACGACTTTTAACTCATGATCTTTATGTAAAACATAATAAACATTTGATGAATATTTACTTCATTTTGGATATGTCTTAGTGGGGTATATCCACGCCGGAGTTACAGGTCAAATTTGGATAGGCTTCTGAACTAGCGCCGCTGATCCAGCTAGCCGTAAGCGAAGGTACTACGGTTTCGCTGATAAGAAAAAATAGAAATGAAATAAATTCAAGGTCTGCAGCCCACCATCTTATGCAAGCTTTATTATTATCCCTGGCCTTGACTCCCTTCTAGTTTATTCTAGGACTTGTCAGAAAGAACAATTAAGATATATTTCCTTTAAAAGTTTAGGTGTTTAGGAAAGGTCACAAAAATGCTAAATACAGGTAAAGGCTAAATGAGTATTAACTATTATGAATTTATTTTCCTCTACAATTTATTCATGTTTCTATCCCTGGCCCTTGTATCAACTATGTCATTCACCTAGTATACCTTTTTGGCTTAGCCTCAACTACCTAAACACTGGGAACGAACGATGCAGAGTCCTAATGCAGAGGTGGGGTTTTGGAGACGAACAAACGGCATGTGAATGCAGCCAGGAACAGACAATGGAACACCTGGAAGATGTGAACTACGGTGCCAGTGCCTGTGTGGAGCACTGGACGGGACTTGTGTAGCTGTAGTGACCCGATAGGCGATAAGAAGACCTAGTATAAATGGTGGCATCTTTATGGATGGAGCTCACTTACATACATCAGTTGTTGCTATGTCAGACAAGCTCCTGGCAAACTTTTGATTTGTCAAGAGAAACTATTGTTCAAGAAGTATAAGATTAGGAGACAGGTCTAATAAGCTTTAATCTTCTTTCAATTATCTTATTTCAAATTTTAAGATTGGTAGAAGCAAAACTACTTGTCATTATTACCCCAACCAATGAAAGTTTTCTGTATCATTCTTTCAATTCTTTTAGACCTATTGATTCTTCTACATGTCTGCTCACAATCTGTGTATATTGTTTCTTCTTACAGTCGACCTGTGAGTGTTGGCCTATGCCGCTTCTTCCCCAAGGAGAGGATTCCGATCGACTCCTGTGTGTACATCATCCAGCATCCTAATGAAGAGAAGCGCTTGCTACGGACAGTACCCATCCTTACTTCTTGCCTACCTCCTGGAAAATGTCAGGTCATAAAAGGCAAAAGATTCTCAGAAAAGAGGTATAATTTTGTACAAACTTCTATTGCCTTTCTGACTTATCTACACAACAATTCTCAATGTTTGAGGGTGATTATATTGCTTGTAATGAACAGTAGATTCAAATGAGTGGTTTCAAATATTCTGAGAAAAACAAATTGTCTCATTTGATTTGTTTTCATTAATTAGATCACCTCACTTGCTTGACACCTTTTTAAGTGTATCAATTGGTCTAAACCTTTTTGTTCAGTCTTGAACCTCCTTTATTTGTGGAATATGTTGGGATTGGGTTGGAGTTGCTAGTTTCATCATTTGGTTGGGAAATATTATTTGTCATCTATTTAGAACATTTGTAATCATACATGTACATGTTTAATCCTGTATATTGCTTCCTCATTTAGGCCCATATACCATTTAATTTATCTGTGGTACCACTCAGTAGATTTTACAGTCATAAGACTATAATATCTTTCATTGTCTTTGTCTACACAAAACTCCAGCTATCCCGAATTAGCCAAATTGTGCTCCAGTCCAAACACGATAGTCTTGTTTCCAGGCCCTGATGCTATAGACATCAATGAGCTTCCCGTTCCGCCACCCAGCACCAATGGCCATAGCCAGGGTTACAACATCCTCGTCATGGATGGGACTTGGCATCAGGCTACCAGTATCTTCAAAGCAAATGCCATGTTCCAAATCCCTCAACAAGTGAGTTGCATTTTCAATAAAAGGCCATTTTCGTAATGTAAGCAAATTTAATGCATACGTCTCTGTGAAGTACCTTGATACTGATTATTTCATTCGTCTGTTACAAATAATTGTATTTCAATGGTCGGTATGTAAATTGCATAATATTACCTATTGTGAGGTAGGGCAAACCATTTTGATTGTCTTACCTAGCAACAAGAATGCAACTCGCATTCTGGTTATTGAGATTATTTGTAACAGGTGAATGAAATACTTTGCATCAAGGCACTTCACAAAGACGTAAGCATTAAATTTGCTTGAATTATGAAAATGGCCTACTGGTATTAAAGTTAATTTGGCTGAAGTAAAGGATATTTTTTTTTGCATTTTGTAAATGCTGATGTTGTAAAAATCTTTTCAATTCCGGTCAAAAACATAAAACGCACCTGTGTATAAGACGCACCCATATTTTTTTTTGCCGACTCTGTAGGCAGCAAGCCAGGTCCGTGTTCAAAAGCCCATGCGGGGAAGGACCTTTATTTTCATTTGAGGTGCAGTTGAAGGCGCCGATTTGTGCTTGTAAACTTGTCACAAATAATGGTAACAATGTCGCTTTTAAAATTAAAGATGACAGACAAATTTTCCTCCAAGTCCAAACAGAAATCCAGACATACAGGCAGTGTTGTTCTAGTTTCCAAGTGATGAGTCAACACACTGTGTATGACTGAGCTGGAAGACTTTGCCAGTCACAGTGCCAGGTGGAGGGGCAGACTGTCAATTACACACAGGTAAAATTTTTGGCACATAACTAACAATAGTAAATTGATTTACAGGAAAGAATCTTCATTTTATAATTTCTCACTTACATATGCAGCCATTGTAGGAAATCTGAATGTTTTCTCCATCATTATTCCAGGTGCAATTTACAAATTCTGGATCCAGTGAATATACCATCCGGACGCAGCCTCTCGATTCAACAGTGTGTACAGTGGAGTCAGCTGCTATAGCGCTGTCTGTGCTAGAGAGAAACCCGGAAATCAGAGAAGTAATCTTTATTTTCTTGCTCAAAGTGTAAAATGCCTGAGTGGTTTTGCAAAAAAAAATTTCACTTGTAAAAGTTAGTCATGGGTGTACTGTGGAACCACAAACTGTTATCATTACTTGGGGGTGTTTCACAAAGATCCTAAGTAGAACATAACTCTAAGTTTGACTTAAAATTATGGAATGCCAATTTTTTGCCTTTAAAAAAGATATATTCAAAAGCAAAAACTCAAGAATTTTAGACTTTTCATAAATTCCACATCAAGAACATGAAATCTCCTTGATAATAGGAAATATGAATGATTTGAATCAACATTTTATGCCTTTTAAAATAAACTTTTACGAAATATTTTCAAAGATGCTAAACGGCTTTCAATAATTGTTAAGTCCAACTTAAGATCTTTGTGAAACACCCCCCAGGAATATTTAATGATGATTCGGTGTTCTGAAATGTGATGCTTGTTATGCTCCTTATGCTTTCAAGCTGCTTAATAACACCATGAATTTCAAGAATGACCTCCCATGCTGTGTTGTTGAATCAGTCAGGAGCTGTGCTTTTATAGTACCTGGGTAGCTTGTGCACTGCTGACTCCATAGACCAGTTCACGGTTAGCACATATCCCAAATGACCCCAAATGACCCCAAATGATCCCAAATATCCACAGATCTTCAAAATATGAAGAGGTCCCACTTTGTAGATTTTGAAATAATCACTCCTACAGCGATGGAGGTGCTACATAAATAGCTTTAATTTGTTTCCCCTTTTCAAAGAATGCTTCCACCTGTGTATCATGGCGTGCACTGCTTGTGTATACATGAATAATGATTACATAACTTTGATCAGCACGTATCCAGTATTTTGTCTCCGTGTATTTCACAATTTGGTCTGCAATGACCTTTATCTGCTCATGCTCAGACTGCAACCGTGAACTGGCTTATTGAATCTGTTCCGGATGAGCGCTCATACAGGAAATCATTATGACCAAAATACTTGGGCTATCTCCCTTCCCTATGATTATAATTGCATGATATTACGATTTACGAATCATATCTTGGACCTTTTTAAATTGCTCCTTAGATCATTGCAAACTCCCCAAGAGTCTCTCTCCCTGTCATTTTGTTCCTATCGCTCGTTGTGCTAAGATATCGATTGGTTAAACCTCTGAGGATGATGCATCATCTGTCTATCTGTTGTGAATCTTTTCACTTGTTTTATTAGATCCTTGCCAAAGGATTAAAAAAAGGACCAATCCTTCATGTGTATGTGTGTAATTGGGTTTTTACAGACGTGTATCAATCAGATATGATTATTTTGTCTGTGGACCGACCTTTAATGTCACCATCTGAAAGACGTGACTCATTTTCGAACCTGCGTCCTCGGCTGAATCAGTTTGTAACTTCCATTGTTAGCTGAAATACAGGTGCACGCCACAACGCCGGGTTACTCTTATTATAAAGTTTAAAAGATGTGAATAAAATTAGTGAAAATTTGAACAGAGTTGTCCCCAGATGATGTCATCAAATTACACCCTCTGTTGACAAGCTATTGCAAAAAGCTTTAACCTTGATTTTTCTTGCCTGATTTTGTTCAAATTTTCACTGAATTTATTCCAATCAATAGGCCATTTTCGTAATGTAACCAAATGTAATGCATAAGTCTTTGTGAAGTGCCTCAATACAAATTATTTCATTCACCTGATAGGATTAATAGTATTTCAATAGTCGGAATGCAACTGCATATATTAAGTGTTGCTAGGTAGGTCAAGCCATAATGTTTGTCCAACCTGGCAACAACTAATGTATGCAGTTCGGATTCTGTCTATTGAAATACTATTATTCTCATCAGGTGAATAAAATAATTTGTATTGAGGCACTTTACAAAGACGTATGCATTAAATTTGGTTACATTACGAAAATGGCCTATTCAAAACAATAAAGATAACTTTTTTTATGAAGGTTTGGTTTCTTTAAAGCCCCACTGTACTACTTGTAGCTACTTGCTTCCTCTATATAGAAAACAATGCCTAATCGGTGCCTGTCATTCCCCCATGATCCTCTTTTTCTTATGTTAATTGAGAGCTGAGTTGATGAGATAGCCACCTGTCAGCGACCTGGCTGGATGGTCTTATCCCCCTTGCCAAACTAGTACAGATGGCCTTTAAAAGAGCCAAACAATCCTTGCCTTTGAGCCATACTGGGTGTATTTATCTGTCAAATGTTACCAATCTTTATTATCTTTTTCTCTTGACTGTTTAGATCCTTGCCAAGCCGTTGAGAGCAATGTGTCAGTTCCAGATGAACCACGGTGCAGTGGTACATCACAGCAAAGAGTATCTCAAAGCACATCCAGAGCTTCCTCAGTGTAAGTACAGTCAAACCTGTCTTTAAAGACCACCAGTGGGAGACTAGAAAAGTGGTCTTTGCCGCATGTTCCTTTAGTACATGTTTCAATGAAAAAACATTTTCAAGGATAACAAAAAATGTGGTCTTTGTGGTGGTCACTCAAGCAATTTGTCTCTCGGTTCCAAAACACATATTTGTAACACAGGTGTGGTACTTCCGTCATATGAAGCAGGTAAATGGCTCAATGGTTTAATTAAATGTTTAGTATTCAGTCCCATTTATTTAGGTGCCATCAATTTGTACTCATATTTTTATTTTGTTATGTACATAATGATACCATTAATGAAAAATCCAACCTTAACTAACCGACAGCTACTCTAATAAAAACAGAAATAAATGATGTCCACGATGACTATGTCCCAAACCGTGACCAAAATGCCCTTTTTTAGATTCGCATATATTTTTTGTGATCTTGTGTTTCAAATATTCACAACTCCTTTATTATTGGAACAATTTATTTCAAACTTTCACCATTCTATTTCTCTAAATTTTTCTGCTCACTACAAAGATTGGATTGCCCTTTACTGCAGAGTTAATAGTAAATATATCATAATCTTCAATTTCAATCAGCAGATCAAGTTTGAAATAGACTTATTTATAGGCTTGTCTTCAATAAATAAGTCTACATACAAGCCAACTGTATCATGTTCTGCTTGAATTTATTCTAAAGGTTTTGATCGATTTGTATTTGTTTCTCTTTTTTTGTCATTGAAAGATATTGCATCAAAAGATCAAATCAAAAGATTTATCATGTGACCATGAACAACTCGTTATTTTTTAATAATATTTTGTAAATAATATCATAGTGGTAAAATTGAATATTTAATCTAATTTTAATCAATGTAATCATATTACTCATGTTCCCTCCTCTCCCGTCCCCCTTCCCCTTATATTCTTACCCCCTTCTAGACAAGAGCTGGTTGCCTCGTAAAAATGAGCCATCCCATGATAAGTCATGACGGAGAGGCATCCTGGAGTGTTACCTAGCAACCAGATGACTTACTCTCCTCCAGGCTAATGATGCGACACGAGGAGGAGCAAGTATTACGACGGATCATAAGCCTAAGCCTCATGCTGGATTTTGAGGTTATACTTATCATCATCAACATACAGTGTATCCATTGGTTATTCTATTTTTGTATGGTTTATTAATGTGCATGTAAGCCGGTCTGTTACATTCAGAATAAGTTTGAGTTGTTCTTGAACAACCAGGTATTAACATTGTATTTTTAAAAACATTCTTTAACAAAAATCTAAATTAGTTGAATCATTTTAGATCCATTCAAACTCTTACAAAAGGCCTTATGAGCTAAATCCAGGATTTTGTTTCAGAATCTGAGACAAAGATACCCAATCCCTTTAACATATTGGAATGGAAAACCCTCTGTTACTGCTTCATTGTTTTCTGAGTACGCATTTGAAGGATAAGGGCTATCAAATTGTTCTTATACTATGAGGGTAAAAAGGTGGAATGATGCCCATTTCAAAGTTAAGACGCCTTAATGTCACCCTTCTCTTTCCTCCCAAATAGTCCACTGTATCATAAGGCAAATGATAACATTTTCACAAGTGAACAAAAAAAAAAAAAGATGTTTATTTGGTATTAAAGGAAATGACACAATGTACAAAATGTAGACAATTTTTTGTTGAAACAACAGGACATGTATTTAACACAACACCAACTTCAGCCAAAATTGCAGGAAAAATCTTAATGCACTACACTTTCAATGATCTATTGTACAGTTAGTAGTTTACATACTTGCATGTCACTGTTTCAGAGAAGTTATAAGACAGTAATCTTGTCTATCAACGGCATTAAACAGAAGTGCTATTTGTTTTCTTTAGTGCTGCCATTTTGAAATTTTGTTACAATTTTGATGGTTCCAAAACTTTGACATAATCAACAATTCAGAAAACTTGATTGGTTGATTGGTTGCTTTTATTCATATTTCATGCAAAATTAAGAAGCATATTACATTTTACAAAACATTAACATTTCTTTATGTAATATGGAAATAAACAATCCCGAATCATTGTAATTAAAAGTGTAACAGCAGGCACAAAGGACACACAACGAAGTCATTCAGAGTTTTATGTGGTATTTATTTTGAGGATGGATCAACCCATAGATGCTGCAGAAATACAGTTCTACTCAGAGTTAGCTTCTCTGTCAAATCAAACCGCCTAAGTCATGAGTGGATGCATGGTCTATGCTCGTCCCTCTCAACCTGTGATGTGGAAAGGATAGGCAAAAAATCCCTACTCTCTACCCTATACCCTCTCTGACTCAAAGTCAAAGTGCACTTCCCCTGTGATGTGGCAAAGAATCCTTTCTCTCTATATTACCCTATACCCTCTCTGACTCAAGGTCAAAGTGAACTTCCCCTTTTAGGGATCCCCTCAGAAGTGCACTACAGGGATCTCCATATTCAGAGACATAGATCCCTTTATTCAGGGACCTCCTCAACAAATAGAATTAAGAAACATTTCGACCTGTAACATTCTCCCATGTTAAATAGTTGCTGTTTCAGCAACAAATTTACCTGGATATGTATACATATATTTATCCTGTTATTCCTACAGAAACATATATTAATTCAGGTAACTTTGACGTTAGTGAAATATTACTAGGTACCAAAATACCTTCAACAGGTGGAAACCCTGTGAGGAAATATCCATCCCTTCACTCAACACAGATTTTGGAAAATTATATGGATTAGTATTCCTTCCCGCAGTGGATCGAGTTGACCTCCGAGGTCCAGGAGTCCCTATTTCCTCGTATTCCATCTGTGGCTCTTCATTTTCGCTTTCCAATATGTGCTCCTCCCATCATTGGTTTCATCATTATCTGGCAATGTGTGCGGGGCTGATGGCACACTCTCTACCTCTATGAAGTAAAATCAGTGGTTAGTGAAAGATGATGAATGATGGCGGAGATAAACCACCGTTAATTTTACTTACGGGGCGGTGAAATGCGATGAAATGACAGAAAGGAAACACGGGCACTAACGGTATACTAACCTTATTACAAACTCACCTTATATTAGGAGTACTCGATACAGACTAGATGCTCAGCTATAGACTCTATGCTATATGAACGATGCTCAGCTATAATGCTAGATGAACGATGCTCAGCTATAAAGCTAGATGAACGATGTCAGCTAGACGGTAAAAGCTCTCTCAATCGGAGGGTGACTTTGAGAGCAGGGCTTCGGCACTTTAGGCTTGGAGTTGGTTTCCCTTTCTCTTCAGCTGTCAAGATCTCGAATGAACCAGTGCTTAGGATATCGGATCATTGCCTTGAGTCGTGCGCCCGTAAAAGGACGATAAACGGATACGTAAGAGCATCCAAGATGCATACATATATGTGTATGTATATGAAATACCTGCAGTCGGGTAAAATAACCTGCGCCTGGTCACACATGTATCTACGCGTTCACGAATACACAATGAGAGAATTGGCATAACAAATGCCATTTTACAACATCTAGCTGGTTTAGTGCCTAGGCTAATGGCACACTCTCTATCTCTAGCTGGTTTAGTGCCTAGGCAATGTCACGTGCCTCCCATTGTGCATTAGGTATATCATCTTGAAATTCATCTTGCTTGGACCTTGAAGTATGAGTTCCAGTCTCGGAACTAGGTGGCACGTTTTCAATATGCTCCTACGGAATTGATTCTGGAACTATTAATAACTCGGCTCGGTTTACCGTTTTGAATTTCCTATAACCATCAACCGGTTCAATTTCATACACATGCCCTGTTGGGTTCATTCCTTTGCTAATGCGGTATGGCCTTCCTTGCCATATGTCTTGGATTTTATGCCTTCCCTTCCAAGCCTGCTGACGTAGTAACACTCTCTTTAAATGGTGTTGCAGTTGGGGCCAGTTCCTCTTAAAGTGGTCGGTTGCTCCACACAGAAAACAACTTGGAGACCAGCACAGGTGGCTCAGTGGTCCTGGGCGACTTTGTTGGTCCAGTAGCCTATTTATTGTCCAATTCTGTTCGTCCTGCTGGGTTAAAAGTGCAGTTACTAGCTGACCTTGTTTCTGCAAGGCTTTGAGGATTAACAACATGCTAGGGCTGTTAGCAGCCCCCCCCCCTAACAAATAAGACACTGAATAGATGAGATCTTGTCTAACTTGGACTCAAGAAAAGAAATCTAAACAATCTAATAAAAATAACAGGCAAGTGGATCCTGATGACCTAGAGGTATAAAACTTCAAGTCTTACTCGTTGACCCGGATAAGCTTTCCAGAAGACGTGTCCCTGTAACACAGACAATCGGGATAGGCTCAGCTCACCACCCTATCTGCATGTGCCTTGGCAACGATGTAGTTGCGTCCAAACTGGTCTTGTAGAATGCTGCGTGCTCTGGTGTAACCTGTATCTGGGTGTAACAAAATGCAATTTTCTATCGCTTCCTTTGCCTTTTCTGTACAGAATTGAATGAGATAAGTTAACCACAGCCTATTATCATGTACTTTATGCTCTATGTTAACTTCAAAATTATTACAAAAACTCCAATACTCAATGGGATTACCTGAGAAACTGGTTTGTCCAGGTGCATTGCCATAACCATTCTTTCAAATATATTATGATCTAAAGAATTTACGTTCTTAGTACAAGCATTTGGATTTTGTGGCATTGTATGTTCCTCATCACTATGTGTTCCGCCCAACACCCCATTGTAGCCAACATCTCTTGTACTACCATGACCCTCAACTCTTTGGGAATTAACATCCTGATGAGTCGAAGATGACGGCAATATGGGTCTTGTGAGGGAAATATATGTCGTATCTCCCGAAAGTAGGAGCCAGTAAATATTATTATTATTATCCACAACACATATCTAGAGCGAACAATGAAATGTTATTCACAATTTTAAGAGCAGCCCATACATGTACATGTACATACCCATTTTTTAAAAACTTGATATTAAAGGAAGTTATTAAACTTACCTGGGTAGTGGTAGGGCTTCATTATTCAACAGAATCCATGACGAACTCCCAATTTCCAAAATAATTTCAGAATCACTGGTAGACGACTTCCACAATTGTCACAAAGTTAGTACAGAAAGTTTTAACTTTTAAAACTGTAAACACCGAACGCTGTCTTGGAATTGAAACATTCAATGCATCTTCAATTCACAAAATCCAAAAGTTTCTTCAATATCTAACGTACATGTATGTACACTTTATACAAGTTTTATCATACTTTTAGTTATTGTTAAAGTGATTAATTGTCACCAAGCAGTTATTTAGCACAAATGGTGTCTGTCGAGTTGTAGTGCTGGTACTGCTTGTAGTATTTCTGACCGTAGATCCAGAAGAATTGTTGTTTGCATTTCCAGCAATGGCTACTTCCTCAAAAACTTCTGATTGACAACAAACCTCTTGAATAGACAGCTGAGAACTTGTAACTCCCAAATCAAAGTTTATATCAAACTCTTCACTCTCAACAACATTTGCTGGTGGAACTAGAGCCTGATTTTGGTTCATCTCTGGTGGCATATTCACAGTCCCAGCTGGCGTTGACCGAACCACCACCTGTTGTCCAACAAGAGTCGAGATATGGTATCAGACATCGCCATTTTCTTGTCATTGCATACACGCCCTGTGTAGGATGTCAAATTCATTCGTTGTTGTGACCAGACACTTGGCAAATACTGTTAGCAAAACCGGCCTTATCGAGCATCCTTATGCAAGTTGCCCTCACACAATGGTTGGTATATGTTCTTGATAGTCTAGCCTTCACGCCTCATGTTCATCGGGAGTTCATTAACCAAACAAAAGACATCTAGGGAGTGCTACTCAGAGACCCATTCCATCCCTTCCTCGTGCAAAGCACAATGGACTCGGTATGTCTCCTCAGCAGAGCGATGACCAGCTTGTTCGAGGTGAATGATCGACTGAAGTAGATGGGTGTCTGGCAAGCTGATGATGACAGGATAGTAGCAATGGGACAGGATGTGAGAGTTGGCGACAAGGTCTAGATGTTGACATCTTGTAAAGTGCAAGTTTAACCTAGAAACCAAGAGACAGTTGAACTATTGTTTCAGGAGATTTGTTTAGATATATATCATCAATTCACACAGAGGATGCTCCAGGACTTTATATGGAACTTTTAAATACATTTACCTGATACCATCTTCGAGGTTTTATCATAGGGAAGGATGCTCAAGTGAATTTATATGGAACTTTTAATTACATTTACCTGATCTAATCCTCGTCGCCAAAAAGATGTAGAGGTGAAGAACAAACAAGCCGAGTGGGGAACGGGTCTCAGTATCTGTATGAGCAAAGCACAGAGAGGTGCCCGTTCCAAAAATTAGGAGGCCATCTATAGTACTCTTCGAATGAATCCAAGGAACTCTACAATTTCCCGTCGTGCACTTGGACAAAAGATGGAGGCACAGTCACTCCACGTGGAATAGCTCCATCTTGTTCTGGCTACAGCACCGCATCAAAGGTGACCCCTGTTTCAGTGCTGCTCTGTCCCTCAATAATGACCGACTGCCTTGGGGACACTATAATGCTGCCCCCTCTCAGGTATGCTCTACCAACTCCACCACTCTCATCACCTAGTTTGGCCCGGTCACTAATGATTTTCATTAGCACAGCCAATACCTGAGGATCACCTAAAAGAATTTAACAATTCTGTCTAGAGGCTCTCCACCTTGGCATCATAAAACAAAATATAAAGATAAGGTCAACATAATTTATAAATGAATGTGTAATATACATGTAGATCAAATACCGGATTATTATAAAAAAACAATTGAAAAAAGATTGTCCATACAACTTCAATGGCTCGAAGGCATCCCTTGGCATTGGAAGACGCACCTCAACAGAGCTGTCTGTTTTCCGCTGTATTGGAAGCGCCTCCTTGATTCTTGTGGCCAGTTGCAAATAAAAGAAGGATGTGGCTTCTTCTGTTGTTTCTAAGAATTCCTTGGGAATATCAACGATTTCATTCACTGGCCACCATTCATCGTAACGCTTGTCCCAGCCAATGTAGTGAACTAAGCCATACACGGTGTCAAGTTCAGTTTTGAAATCCAAAATGTCCAGAGGGTACAGCTTGCTGGTTGACCAGTTGTGGCTGTTCGCCGCTCTTGGTGGAATGCTGGTCCCTCTGCCAATGCCTTGTAGTCAACTCTATATTGGCACCTTTTTGGCTGGTCTGCCATACAAGTCACCTTAAAAACAAAAATAATGAAAACAATCATGAACAAAATCATCACACCTGTGTAGGAAGTTTATCATTGTTGTTGACTCAAATTGGTGACAAAACAAAATAAATCTTGAATTCGATTTTATTTAAATTGACGAACTACGAGTTTGTAATGACGTGCACAGTTTTTCCTTTGTAATCATTTTGCCTTGTGCGGAGACTAGAAGGGATGAGATTTAGACAACGTCAATGCGCAGCGAGAGTTTAAAATACGGCTGCAAGATTTTCAACATGGATGTCGATTTTGACCCATAATTTCCTAAAAGGGACCATTAAACAGATTATTTCAGTTCAGTTGGTAAGTGGAACCGATGTATAATAGCCTATGTAAATTAAAACGCCATGGGTTTTTAATATCCGAGCTCATTTTGACAACAAAAACCTAAATTCTATGCATGCACATTCTCATGCAAATTGAGTTCTCTCCATAGACACTTACCATCGAATACCCAAGTTTGAAAGAAAAATGATCACTGGTTTTGTGACTTTACTTAGTAAAATATACATGATCATGAAGCTAGTATACTGGTAATGAATTTGAGAATCTGTTCACACCTTTTAGCGGTGATTACACGTTTTAAAGATGCATGTGTTTTAGTGGGAAAAAATATGCTAAAAAAACACACATTTCCGGGCGAGCAGATGCGAGCTAGTTTTCATTATGATTTGCATATTCTTAGTCTGCTTTTCTCACATGAATCTCACCCACATTTTCCTTTATTTCCGTCACCTCATTTTCAAGAAATTCTACACCATTTTCTAGATCTATTAATCTTGTGTCTAAATCCTTTAGCTCCTTCTCAATGCTAGTAACTTTTTCATATATATCGTCCACTTTCTTGCAAACTTCATCCAATATTGACACTTTTTGTAGTATAGCCAGTTAAAACAAACATAAATTTAATAGCACAAAATGCATTCTAATACTTTAAATACAGTATGAGGTAGGCAGTTCAACGCAAGAGAAAACAGGCAGACTCGACAGTTACAGAGTTGCTTGGTACAATTTATCAAACATACATTTAATAGCACAAAATGCACTCTAAACCTTTGAATACAGCTCTAAATTTGTATGAGGTCAGGCGCATAGCCATAGGCAGTCGCCCCCCCCCCCCCCCCCCCAAAAAAAAAAAAAAAAAAAACGCCGGCCAAAAAAAAAAAAAAAGAGAGAGAGAGAAAGAAGAAAGGAAGAGGACGTAGGAAGAAAAAGGATTAAGAGTCTAGAACGGTACAACAAATTGTCTTCTTTCTCTAATAATTTAATGAAACGTCAAGGCTTCAGGGCTTCGCGTGGGAGGGGCGGGGGGAAACTGAATTCAGATAATGATTAAGAGTACCGTTCTTCCAAAGCCTTTTTGGCATCATGATATGCTGTTTCGTTGTCGAACAGAGCATATCCTTTTACTAGCTCTAGGGGTTGACCCTTCAGGTACTTTTCAAGGTAGAAGAACCTGTCCATATAGGCGTGATGCCACTGCGATCAATTAAAACGTTGAAGGCGTGTTTCCAACCTGGATACAAGAGGGGATCGCCATCAAATATGGTCGGTTCAGGTAGAGGCAATCTTGAGGCTCTCAACTGTTCTGCAAAGAGACTCAAAGGGTCAATTGGTGAAGTCTCACGAACAGGTGGGTTAACAGGTGATGGTTAGTCGAGACTGACTTAATAGAAACTCATCACTATTTAAACATCAAATAAACAATCTTTCTTATCTTAATATCACAAAATAATACATTCAAAGGAATAACTAACCCCTTTGCCTCTTTATTCTGCTTCTTTGGCATTAAAACACCCAAGGATGCAATAAATTAGAGAAGATTCTTCACAAACAACCAGCTACTAAGTTTCCAGCTACCACCATCTAGCATGTCTATCTAGTCTATGTACAAGTGCACTGCTATATCAGGCAAAGGGTATAATGCACAGAAACACACACAGCACTTATCTGTAGTACTGTGTAGTGTACTTGAAGGACACTTACAATGTCATACCTAGTCTTGTTTCAAGTCTTTGAATCTGTTTAAACTAAATTCAAATGAACATTCATTACAGTCTTCTTTCTTTAATATTTTAATGAAACGTCAGAGCTTCCGCGCTATGCGCGGAGGAAGGGGAACTTGATTCAAACAAGGATAAGAGTAGAGAACGGTACAACGAATCGTCTTCTAATAATTTAATGAAACGTCAATAGAAACTGAATTTAGACAAAGATTAAGAGTCAAGAATGGTACAACTAATCACCTTCTTTCTCTAGTAATCTAATGAAACGTCAAAGCTTTTGCGCGGGAGGAGGGGAGGAAACTCCCTCCTCCCTGCATCCCCCCCCCCCCCAGGGAGCGCGCTATGCGCGCTTTGTAAAAGATTTGCACGCTTTGCGTGCTCACTATCGCCCCCCCCCTAAAATAAAATCCTGGCTACGCGCTTGTATGAGGTAGGCAGTTCAAGGCAAGAGAAAACAGGCAGACTAGACAGTTACAGAGTTGCTTGGTACAATTTATCAAACATACATTTAATAGCACAAAATGCACTCTAATACTTTAAATACAGCTCTAAATTTGTATGAGGTAGGCAGTTCAAGGCAAGAGAAAACGGGCAGACTCGACAGTTACAGAGGTGCTTGGTACAGTTTATCAACGTGCACTTTCTTTAGAGTTTGATAGCTGCATACAAACTTAGGCTCCAATCTCCAATCCAATCTACTTTAAAACCAATGCTGGAGCTAGTTATTCCCTGAAGAACTGCTCTACAACATCCACAGCACTAGTCCCCATTCCAATGTCGTAGTAGATGCGTTTAAGGTGAAAACCAGCTTGTGTGTACACAAAGAATTTGCACCATATTCGTCCTGTAATGCCCATTTGCGACTGTACTTGGTAGTAGTACTGATGATTTTTCTTTAGCTGTGAAGAGCCATTTATTACAGTCAACCAGTCAAGGTTCTCGGCTGAAGGCTCGTCGAGGGCGATAGAGCGCGGACACTTTATCTCGAGTAATCCTGTCTCGTCACAGCATGCGCAGGATACCAAACCATCTGGCGATGCATCCAGAAACACTTTGCTTCTGTCAATAAACAGACCGCACTCTTCTACCTGAACATCTTGGTGCCCATTTTCCTTCAAGATTGTTTCATATGTTTTTCTTGACACCAGCTCCATCAATCTGCCATACTTTAGACTTTGGAGATTGGGATTGAGTGTTTCGTAACCCATCAATCTCTTAATTGTTGGCCTGGGATCTTGGCTGCGCGATGATGCAGGATCGCTTAATGACGCCTGTCTTGTCACAACTGACTTGAGGTTGGATGCTGTCATCATCCCTGCACGGAATTTGGCCCACTGGTTGTTCTCTGCTTGGCCTCTTGTCTGCTTCTCCACTGCATCAACTTGCTCTTGGCTGTACGTTGGAAGTACATTAAAAAATGCTTCTACCGATTCTGCATGATTTCCAATGCTGCTCAGGGTTTCGACGTTAAATGTGTTCCTTGTTTGGACTTCGACTTCATCGCCCACATTAAAGTTTTCCTCGGGAGTGTAGTTCGTAGTTTTGATCTCTGTGATGCTCTGTTCGTCTTCTAGATATTTGAATACCGTTGACTTCTTGCAGCTCGGGTACAAGGTGTTGATGAGATCTTTTGCTTGAGTCTGTTGGCCAGAGAGACTCCTACTCCTTCCCAATGGATTGTGTAGTATATTGAGAAAGCGATATATATGCAACTTTATATATTACATTACTCTGTCAGTGATCTCAGCGAAGCCACAAAGTCTGAAATTGATTCGGTCTCCAACTGAAAACGACTGTTAAACTTGCATCGCTGCACTATCTCACTCGGCACTGGGCTCTGGTGAGCTGTCATCTTTTCTACTAGTTCCGAATACTTCATTTCTGATAGCTTAGCTGGAGCCACCAGATTCCGCAAAAGTTTGTATGCAGAAGGCCCAATCACAGTTAGAAAAGTAGCCTGCATTTTTCCCTCGCTGGTGATATCGTTGGCCTTAAAATAGAGGTCCAGTCTTTCAACATACTGCGACCAGTCCTCCCTACTCTCATGAAACTCTTCAATTTTTCCAATGAGAGCCATTTTTGCGGGTTCCGAATATCCTCGTCGCCAGTGTTAAGTGTGCTAACTTTTTTTTATCTACATTTCAATTTTCTAAGAAAATATGTGCACACTCTGACATCAATCATGACCATCCAGCATTTGTGACATCACATTCATCAACCAATGATTATTAGTGCTTACCCTGCTAAACAGCTACAGGAGGCACGTTCAACAGCAATCCATACATTGTGAGGTACATTCTTCACTGATAATGAAGGAGTACATTGTGTCTTCAAGATGTAGATTGTACTGTCTTTGGAGACTGAATGGTAGACTATTTCATGAAGCCACCTGCTATCAAAGTGAGAATATGCCTTCCCTTCCTTATAGTCAGAGAGAAGTCTTTCTTGCAGGGACTTGGGTCTCGTTTGATCACCTATTTTACATATGCTCTTGCTTGGTACGCTGGTGCAAAGCGCCTCGCTCAACAACCATTCAGCTATCTCAAAAAAACTAACTGGTGGCCAAAATTTCACTCCTTCTTTTTCTGGGATCCAGTTGTCTTCCAAGTCAACAAGAGGATCTGGAATTCGTTTTCCCTTGAAGATCAACAACTCTCCATAGTTAGCAGACCTCGATCTATCTTCCTCCACCTCAGTAGGTTTCACTTCGTACCCAAACTGTGCAGCACTGTAAATCAACGCTTGTAGCTCCGCTTTTAAACCTCTTGTTTTAAGTCCTCTTATCTGTAGAAAATCCTTCAAAGCATTCACATTCCAATGTCTAATTTCTTCTAAAGTAAGATCAGAATGAAAAAAACGATGAGAAAATGTAATTTTCAGCGACATTATCGAGTCAATATTACGGTGTTTACGCAAATTCAGAATTGGCCATTCACAATGTGCACGTTAGTACAAGTACCCATGGGCAACGCTCTTTTGTTTATCTCCAATGACCTATGCACGAGTACCACAATGCATTGCGCGCTGAGATTGCGAACTGGCTTATAACGATTCTGTGTTGTCAGTACGTACCGTTAGTCTGGGGGCTTCTGCAGCTATGGGCTTTGCACTTTCATTTTCCAATATTTGGTCTGTTTCTCCTTGTTTGTCCTCGTAACTTGACCTCCGAGATCGCTTAGAATTAAACATATTTGTTGCTTGTAGTATATATGGCTGAAAATAGAATATAGTAGTTGAAAACCGATGAAAAACTCAGTATTTACCCGCAGCTCCGATTTTGTCCTTCTTGTCTATCTCGACATCGAGGGCGCCCTGTAATAGTTTTCAGCTTGCTGACTAGAACCAAGGTGTCTTGTTAGAGTTTTAATTAGTTTTGGATAAGAATGTGTCGGTCCCAGGCTCATGAGACAGGAAGGCGGAAAGCTTATTTTGATCCATCCCCTGTTGTTTTCTAGAACTTCCATGATGACCTAGTACATTACTATAATGCTTTACTTGCAGATGGTTTACCTAGTAAGATGCATGTGTTTGCTTGCATTGAGGTCATTTCAGAGGATACTTCATCTTTATTCAAGAAAATTTCAGACAATTTCCTTTTCACAAGGGAGAAATTACTTTTCATCTCATTGGGCAGGGAATCCCACAGCAGAAACGCTGACCCCGACAGGTGGGAGGGAGCAATTGGACTAGATCCACGCTTTCCCCAGCTCCTCCTTGACGGAAATCTTCCCCACCATCACCAGAGAAACGTGGAGGAAGATCGACACCTGTCAATAAGTAAAAAGTTTTATGTTAAAAAATAAAGTCGAAGAGAATGCAACAGTCAAAAGTAAATAAGATGAAAATAACAAATTAAGGCAAAGTTTACAATTAAACAAGATCGTAGGTACCTCAAAATGTATCACATAAGCACCAGCGACAGCAACAAAAATCACACAACTAACACAACTGTACAACTAGAATGACTAAGTAGCAAAATACATATGTAAGTTTATGGGTGAGACAAAAGTATGTACCGGTATTTAGCGCAGGAAACAAGTAAATAAGACAAATTGGCGAACAGACCACTCCAAAAACAGCAATACAAACAAAATGATATGGTAGATCTTCAAATATAGCACTTGAAAATACACCTGACAAGAAATTTATATGGTGTACATTGAACAATATGACGATTCAAAGGAATAATATTTTGCAGAAACAAATAGAAAATAAAAAAAGGGTGGGAGAGTGAACGAATACCAAATGAGAAACCCAAAGAAATATGAAACAGTTGGGTTCTGAACAACTTAACAAAATAGCTACAAAGGGAAAACAACTTGGGTACAAAAACAATTTTTTTCTCACAATATATCCTAAAGGACGTTATATAAAATAAATGAAACATTGAGTGGGCGTGCCAGCGTGCCTACAGTTTAAGGGACAGTCCCCCCCCGTAGGCTCATCGTTCCCAGGTCACCATCTCCCAGCCAGAAATTACCTACACCTAAACACTATGAATACCAAACATAGGCATAATTTGATGTTTTAAAATGAAAAGAAAACTAGCACCTGACTGGGCGTGCTGTTCACCTACAGTTTAAGGGACAGTGCCCCCTAGACTCATCATTCACAGGTCACCATCTAGCCTGATATTACCTATACCTTAATGAAAGGGGGTGGTAATTTGTGACGGGTAGCCGGAATGAGTGGGGGTAGACCTCGGACAATACAGATGACAATGGCAGCCTGAGGAGTAGAGTTGGTGCTCTTTATTCTGTAAAGGACACACCGCTATAAGCGGGGTGGGAACGGGGTCAAGTAATGATAAACAGTTATCAATTACAAGAATAAACAACAACACATCTTTCGGCATTATGACAACAAAAGGTAAACAGTGTTCACTACACTAAAACATTTGAATCGTTAATAACAATAACTTTAACTTATTTAAGACAATGCAAATGCCCAAAGTGTATAAGCTGGATCAAATACAAATTCCTAACATAATTAATCAAACTTAAAAGATCATAATTCTTCGTTAATCAGGTTTCTCTACACCAAGACCTAACACATAGTCATTAGCGCCCAAGTTCCCGACTACAATAGTCACACTCCAAGGCCCAATTGACCGTACACACAAATGCATTCTACACGTACCCGTACAGGCATAGCCTATGCATCCATTTCCTCTACGTGTAATCTACTTGTACATTGAGAAGTCACACCCTCTGAGCATTACGTAACAACAATATCGCCTTAAATTACACCTTTCTGTTAACAAATATCATGTTCTTTGAACATATTTTTAAGCCTTATAATAATACTAATTCGTTTAAACCAGGATATGAACAAAACATAGTAACAATATTATCAAATATAACAATTTAAACACACATAAAAACTAAGCCTTGCTTACCTATAAGCGGGGTGGGAACGGGGTGAAGGTCACGGTTCTAAAGCCCGCCACCAACGACCTCCTTACATCCTTCCCCACTTTAAATAGTCATCGTCCCTTGATGACTCATAATGCAACAAAAACCATTTCTCAACATCAATTACATGTATTATTAACAATATCTATAAAATCAATTAATAGGAACAATCTCCATAGAACATACATTTATATACTACCTCAAACAATCTGGGAGGTACTTTATAAAATAGATATCGTCCTAATTGGCATGGTTGCTTGTTTCGTTTCATTTCTCTACGGAGGAGCACTTTCAGGATACATTGTGTTGGTGCCCCTCCTGCGTTTCTGTTGGGGGCACTCTCTTGCGAAGTGTCCAAAGGCACCACAATTAAAGCAAGGACCCCTCTGCGTAGGCCCCGAAGAGGTTGGTTTCACCTGCAAGCTGCCCCGAGGGCGATTAAACTGCATCATCTCCCTTACTGCCCCTATTACTTCATTAGTCATGGCCCTTACTGCTTCAAGGACTCCGTTGTCCAGGGATGTAGATTGTCCTTTAATCGAAGACAGATGTGCTGCACTAGAAGCTCCTGCTCTTGGTCGGGCTTCCTCTCTACGCTCACGTTTTATTGCGAGCTCTCGCAGTTCCCTAAAGGTCATCTCGTCTTTCACCTCATACATATCTCTTAAGGTGTTGCGCAAGAATGTGTCCTCAAGGCCCTCAACGAATTGTTCTGCAATCAAAGCGTCAGATTTTGCATACAGGTAGGGGCTTCTTGATGTCAAGCTCAGGAACTTCCTTTCTAGGTCGACAGCATATTCACGAACAGATTCTCTTGTCCCCTGCCTCCGTTCAAGAAATCGGCGTTGCAGTTCACCTACAGGTATCACTTCTGCGTATGTTGACTTGAGGAAGTCGACCATCTCCTCGACATTGCCACCACCTTTGATAATGGCCTTGGCCTCGTCCTTCGGCCCTCCTCTAAGATACTCTAAAAGAAAGGTGGCTTGTCGAGTCGAAGGAACATTGTAATGTTTGAATGCATCCTCAATTGCCGTCACAAACTCTTGCACATCCCCTGCCCCATCGAAGGTTGGTAATCTTTTCTCCGGCGCCAACATAAGTTGAGGCGGGGGCCTCAATAAAAGCTCTTTCAAGCTTTGAACCGTCTCGTCACCACCAGTTTTCTCTTCTGCGAAGAGAGGGTGATATAATGTCACTATCCACTGCCCAAGGGGCCGGATGAACCCGCCAACTGCGGGCAGTATCACCTCTTCTTCTCCAACATCTTTATAAACCAAACCTTTGGCAGAGGGATATCTTGACTGTAATGCTTCAAGTGATAGGGGGCCCCCCTCTTCTTCAAGGGGGAATTTGAAGGATTTCCCGTCATCCCCGATTCTTACATACAAACCCATTTTAGCAATATGAGATTAGTAGATATATCAGAATAGTTACTAAACAACTAATATCTCAAGCATTTACAAATGAGTAGGGCAGAAACTAATCGATACCTAGGATCGAGTTCAGTAGTAGATATATCAAAATAGTTACTAAACAACTAATATCTCGAGCATTTACAAATGAGTAAGGCAAAAACTAATCGATACCTAGGATCGAGTACAGTACTAATAACATCTAGAAAATACATCTAGAAAGCAGTTATTTATGTAAAAACATGACATTGACATTGTTCAGTCTTACATTGGAACATACAATTATTTATTTAAAACATGACATTTACATTTTTCAGTCTTACATTGGATCATGTTTGTCTTCAGAATAATAGCGTAGCGTCGTCGACGATATCCCATCCTCGTCGCCAGTTGAAAGGGGGTGGTAATTTGTGACGGGTAGCCGGAATGAGTGGGGGTAGACCTCGGACAATACAGATGACAATGGCAGCCTGAGGAGTAGAGTTGGTGCTCTTTATTCTGTAAAGGACACACCGCTATAAGCGGGGTGGGAACGGGGTCAAGTAATGATAAACAGTTATCAATTACAAGAATAAACAACGACACATCTTTCAGCATTATGACAACAAAAGGTAAACAGTGTTCACTACACTAAAACATTTGAATCGTTAATAACAATAACTTTAACTTATTTAAGACAATGCAAATGCCCAAAGTGTATAAGCTGGATCAAATACAAATTCCTAACATAATTAATCAAACTTAAAAGATCATAATTCTTCGTTAATCAGGTTTCTCTACACCAAGACCTAACACATAGTCATTAGCGCCCAAGTTCCCGACTACAATAGTCACACTCCAAGGCCCAATTGACCGTACACACAAATGCATTCTACACGTACCCGTACAGGCATAGCCTACGCATCCATTTCCTCTACGTGTAATCTACTTGTACATTGAGAAGTCACACCCTCTGAGCATTACGTAACAACAATATCGCCTTAAATTACACCTTTCTGTTAACAAATATCATGTTCTTTGAACATATTTTTAAGCCTTATAATAATACTAATTCGTTTAAACCAGGATATGAACAAAACATAGTAACAATATTATCAAATATAACAATTTAAACACACATAAAAACTAAGCCTTGCTTACCTATAAGCGGGGTGGGAACGGGGTGAAGGTCACGGTTCTAAAGCCCGCCACCAACGACCTCCTTACATTAACACTATGAATACAAAAAATAGGCATAATATAATGTTTTAAAATGAAAAGAAAACTAGCACCTGACTGGGAGTGCTGTTCACCCACAGTTTAAGGGACAGTACCCCTTAGGCTCATCATTCACAGGTCACCATCTCCCAGCCAGTAATTA